CCTCCAGAGATTTGTTGAGGAGAAAACAATAGCAGATCCTGCAGGATTAGACTCGACCACGGGTCCATTTCTGCCTCCTGCCGGTGCTTCGCCATGTCGCGCAAGGCCGGCCACGGGGGTCGTATCCTGAGATCCCAGCGGGGTTTCCACGGCACTATTTCGCGATGCGAAGCACATTTTCTCACAAAAATCGCAAGAAAAAGGTCGCCATTGGATTAATCTGTTGAAACGACAGTTTTTTTGAAGGAAAGTGTAGCTGAAAAAAATCCTGGAAGCTAAGATTGGCTAGAATGAATGGAATGCATGGTTTCTAGCTTGGAAGCTTAGAACTGGTCTATGATGGGAATTGATGTGTTGTAAACCCAACAATAAACCACAAACTTGGGGTCCCGGTCGAAATCCCCGCCTTTTCAGGATCAATTGGGGATGGTTTACTGTCTGCACCATTACCACAGTTTACTACTGTAGTTGAGGCAGGGGCTCATACGTGATATGCCTCACTTGTTGACCGGGGTTAACAAACCACTTGCGGAACCTTACTAACCAAAGCCAAGACTTTGGTCCACAACAATGGGATGCGCACCACAGTCAATTCATAAAATGTTCATCCTATCATCAAAATTTGCAATTCTAGACATATATAGTTTTTTTTTGATAATCAAAGTATTTAATTTGATATTCCTATCCAAATTCCATGAATAATCCACATATATCCACATCACATTTTGCTATGTGATGATCATTTTGCTATTTTCACAAGCCAATTCACGGGACCCCTGGGATGCCAGGTGCCCCACCTACAGCATGGAGCCACTCAGATCGCGATCGCGGATGAGGATATTCCCTATTTTTATGGGAAGATCCGGGAATATCTCAGCAAAAAGGCCGGTAGAAACGTCTGGTTTCAGACCTTTTCTCGTTTTTTTTTCTACTCTTTTATGGATTTTGAAGGACTCGGTACTCGGTCGTGTTTTTTCAGGTTGAAACCAGCAGGATGGAGTTGACAAATGCTGTGTCGTGGATTATGACTCACTGCATAACCATTGATTCATACCCTTGCAACAACCACATTGAATGAGTTACAGTCACCACCAAAAGTGTCCAGTCACACGATCAGTGAAACTTTGTTGGGTAGCTTTGTAGTTGACTTTGACATACTTTTGATGGCCACATGTTCTTAGAATACACGTTTGATTTTTCAATCTACCCCAAAAAATGCCAGCATGCCAACATGCCAACATGCCACATACACATTTGTTTGCAGGGTTTCGAAACTTAAATTCTCATGATTGATGGGTTCAATTCCCATGATTGGAAAAAATCCCATGATTGATGGTTTGATTCGCATGATTGAACATTCCCAGGATTGATGGTTTAATTCTCATGGTTGATGCATTGGCCATAGAGAAATTGGGAAAACCCGCCATTCATCAAACCTCTTTTCAGTTCGAGAAGCCAAGGCCCTGCCGAAGCAGCAGAGGTTCGCCAACCCAATCATGACCTGAAGTTTCGAGGATGAATGATGAAATTCAGCGAGTCATGTCCATTTAATTCAGGGGTCATTTAGGTTGATTCTATTTTGGTTCTTATTTTTTTGAGCATTCTAGGTGAAATCTGTACATCAAGCGCTCCAAGGCTTTGGTCTCAACTATCTTTAGCAGTGAACCATCCCAGCCTGATTCTCCATGAACTGTCGGTGATTGACAATTTGAGTTTGTCTGAAGATATATAGGTTACTCCCAAATCCAATAATAGATCAACATGTTCATGCATTTTCATGCATTTTCCCCTTTACATAGACTTGTAGTAAAAAAAAATAATGGATTTTTCGTCCATTTTCCAGACACACCCAAATAGATCCAAATAGTATATACATATATATACAGTATATATATACAGTATATATATACTATATATATACTATATATATACTATATATATACTATATATATACTATATATATACACTATATATATACTATATATATACTATATATATACTATATATATACTATATATATACTATATATATACTATATATATACTATATATAGTATATTACATATATACTATATATATAGTATATATACATAGTATATATATAGTATATATATAGTATATATATAGTATATATATATATATACATAGTATATATACATAGTATATATATAGTATATATATATATAGTATATATATAGTATATATATAGTATATATATAGTATATATATAGTATATATATAGTATATATATAGTATATACTATATATATAGTACTATATATAGTATATATATAGTATATATATATAGTATATATATACTATACTATATACTATACTATATATATAGTATATATATATATATAGTATATATATATAGTATATATATAGTATATATATAGTATATATATATAGTATATATATAGTATATATATATAGTATATATATAGTATATATATAGTATATATATATAGTGTATATATATAGTATATATATAGTATATATATAGTATATATATAGTATATATATAGTATGTATATATATATGTATGTAAACATATGTATATGTATATGTATATGTATATGCATATGTATATATATGTATATGTATTTGTATATGTATATGTGAACATGATATCACATACTCCATGGTTTTGCTATCAATTCCCCGTTGATCGCCCATGATCGAACTGTGCCGACAGATCCTCGCAAGATCCGCATCAACCCATGACAAGCGCCTTGTGATCCCTCAGAGCTTGGGAGCAGTTGGATTTTATATGATACCATCTGGTTATTTGTTACATAGCCGTGGAAAGATCCACTATTTTTAATAGGTAAACCATCTATTTCTATGGGCCATCTATACCATGGCGAACTGTTAAATAACGAGAGGGTATGAAAACTATGAACGGGATTTACTTGGGTTTAACCATCAGCAATACGGATTTCATGGAGATTTAGTGGGAATTAATGGGGTATCATGGAGATATCATGGGAATTGGTCATTGGGATGTCGCTCGTATTATCAGTTGAGCAGTGGCTGCTAAACCGACACCGATGTCTGTTGATGAGTGCGGGTGCTATATGATTCACGTTTGTTATGATCTTCAACACCCGAAGACCAACTATAACCAACTAATAAATTGTTACCTTGGATATTTATACTTCAACTTTATACTATCCAACTATCTTTATACTGCTGGCTGATGATTAGTTGATCTTTAAAACAATCCGCGAACTGGGAAATCCGTTCTTAACCGACCAGTACAAAGGGACAACATTTCGGGTTTCAAAGGCTGCTCATTTAGTGATGGGTCAACTCTTTGGGGTATTTGGCAGTAAATTCACATATAGATTCTAGATGTGGTAAACTGATGCCAAGTTCATATGAATAACCCCGCCCCAAGAAGGTCAGAGTCCCCCCAAATCAAAAGAACTAGGGCTTGTCATACATAAAGAACAACCAACCTGCCTGCCAATGGGTCGAGATTTCTCTTTTCAGTGGCAACCTCCGTCCCAATGGGGCGAGATGGTGAGATTGGGCATGGGACATCCCATCAAAACATCATTTTTTCAACGATTAAAACACAATTAAAACGATTAACACATAATTATATCCTGACTACCACAAAAGCAAATTTGGATTAGGATTTCTGAGCAGGGTGTTGTTTTATAGGGGGGTCGCACATGCTTATTATATAATAGGAAGGGACCAACCCAAAGATCCCAAAGAGTAGTATTGCCAGACATTTTTTGGAATGTGGGTGTTTATTAATTTGGGGATGATTATTAATACCCATAGGATCCATGGTGCTGGTATATATGCTAACATGACTGGGGTATATTGATGGGATCCATGTTACCATATATAGCAGCACCATGGATCCTATGGCCTATGGGATATGAACTTGGCATTTCTTGGAAAATCCCCGAACTAGCCATGGAGCTTTCGTTCGGGAAAATCATCACACTCAACGGGTTTTTTTTTCAGCCACGTTTGAGTATCGGAGGGTAATTCCATTATATTATCACCATTAATCACCATTAATCACCATTAATCACCATTAATCACCATTAATCACCATTAATCACCATTAATCACCATTGATCACCATTGATCACCATTAATCACCATTAATCACCATTAATCACCATTAATCACCATTAATCACCATTGATCACCATTAATCACCATTAATCACCATTAATCACCATTAATCACCATTAAGCACCATTAATCACCATTAATCACCATTAATCACCATTAATCACCATTAATCACCATTAATCACCATTAATCACCATTAATCACCATTAATCACCATTAATCACCATTCATCACCATTAATCACCATTAATCACCATTAATCACCATTAATCACCACTAAGCACCATTAAGCACCATTAAGCACCATTAATCACAATTAATCACCATTAATCACCATTAATCACCATTAATCACCATTAATCACCATTAATCACCATTAATCACCATTAATCACCATTAATCACCATTAATCACCATTAATCACCATTAATCACCATTAATCGCCATTAATCACCATTAATCACCGTTAATCGCCATTAATCACCATTAATCACCATTAATCGCCATTAATCGCCATTGTATAACTACTATCAACCACCATTACATAACCACTATTCACCACTATTAACCACTATTCATCAGGATTGCTATAGAATTCTGTGGCCTGCTATGCGTCTTTGCTAGAGCCACTACGCTCAAATGATATCCTGACATTCTTTCGGTTGTCAGAACCAGCTGATGCCGACATATGTGAGATCCCAGTGGTTGCGCAGAAGTTTGAATGCCCTATCTTGGATAGCAAACCATAGCAAACCACTGCCAAAAGGATGAATTTGCCAGTTGTAAGATTTCTTTTCAAGTGGAAGTGGAAGATTTTTTGAATATTTGAACCCATCCCAAGTAGAGCTCAGCACCAGCGCGGCCGCAAAAAAGATTTGGCTCAAAGTAGCCAGTGCTACCTGGCGTTCAGGCTGGGAACCGCTCCAGAAACGGGCCCAGGGGGGGGACTGGGAAGGGCCCTTTTGGAAGAAAAGGGACCAGCCAGTCATTTCTGATCCCAACAATTTTGCAATGTAGCCCCGAAAAGAAACAACAGATCTAGATCTTGCAATTTTTATGGCAAAGTCGTTGTCTATCTTTCTGGGGGCTACTATAATGATCTATAATGTTGGGGGCTACTATAACGTTGACATATTTTGCTATAAGTTGGTTTCTAAACCCCATGAATACTATAGTTATTTGCGTACCATAAACCATAGTTATTGAAGTTATAAACCCCACATTGTAGCATTGCTTATTATGGCGAGGTCAAGTTGCTATCCACGGTATCCACGGTCCCCGCAGGTGGCAAAACTCAACGAAACCATGGCCCGGCCTCGGCGCCTTTGGGCGCTTTGCGCCCTTTGTGCCTGCGCGCGAGCGCAGGTGGCTGGGTTTGATTGAACGATTTTTTGGCTGACATATAGTGTATAATATATATATATTTATAAATGTATAGTGTTATATATATATTGTAATTTCCATGCCAAACCTTGACATAACTTGAAGGTATAGGAAGATTCTCCCGACAACGAGTTGTACCTTGAATCACCTGCGGGAAACCTCTTGTTGTGCCTTAGAAGGTGCGGCTCAGGGTGGCCATAGCAAAGGGCTTTAGGATGCCCCTTTAATCGGTGATTTGCTGCGGTCAGCCATTGGAAAACATTGCGCCTGCGGCCTGGCGCTTGGTGAAGCTTGGTAGGACCTGGGGTCCCAATTTTCCTTCCTTGGTTAGCTCGGGGGCTTGGCTACGTTTGTGGGCAACCACATTGGTAGCGGAGCTACCGCAGCCGGCCTTGGAAAGGAACGTGCCGGAAGCTGCAGATCTGGGGTGATGGAAACTGGGACAGGAGAACAGGTGTCATCAGGTTCAACATCCGGTTCAACATCATCCTTATCTCACCTTCCATGGAGCATGATTCCGGCGTTCAAGCCGGGTGAGACCGAGATCAACGAGTACACGAAGAAACTCGAGTTCATAGCAGGATTGTGGCCACCAGAACACCTTTCCCTTTTAGCACCACGTGCAGCGATGCTTTGTGAGGGAAGTGCCTTCAAAAGAATCATGAGAATCAATCCAGCACAGCTCAAAGTGAACTCCACCAAAGGGGTAGAATTGCTGGTCACCTCACTTGGAGGTATCTGGGGGCGTAGCAATCTGGAAGAGAAATTCGAGAGATTTGAGAGAGCTTTGTATACCACTGTTCAGAAAGCCGATGAATCACATGACAGTTACCTTGCCAGACATGATTATCAGTTTGAAGAGTTGCTTCAAATGGGTGTGGGCTTCGAAGAAGTTCGCGCCTATGTGCTGTTGAGAAACTCTGGACTGGGCGCTGACGACAAAAAGCGCCTTATCATCGATGCTGGAGGTAACTCGGAGTACAAGAAGATTGTTCCGGACCTCAAGCTGCTGGGATCCAAGTTCTTTCACGAGGTTCAATCTGGTAGTCGAACGAACATCAGAACAAAAACCTATGATGTCAATGCAGTGATCGAAGATGACGTAGCATGGAACAACCCTGAAGAGGATCAAGCCTTTTTTGGAGAGAGTTGGGAAGATTCAGAACTGTTGTATGATGAAGGGGATCCGGATGCCATCATCTGCATGCAGTTTGAGGAAAGTCTTTTAGACTCTCTTCAGTCCGACAGTGATCTTGCAGTGTGTTACAATGCATATCTTGACGCACGAAAAAGGCTGTCAGACAGAAACAAGAACCGCGGGTTCTGGGGCGCCTCCAAAGGGAAGAACAACTATCCCAAAGGCAAAGGTAAGGGGAAAGGAAAAGATGGTGGAAGATTTAGGAAACCTTTAGCACAGAGGATTCTTGAATCTGAGTGTAGAAGGTGTGGTCAAAAAGGGCACTGGAAAGCGGAATGCCCCATGGGGCGTCAGACCAATCAAACTCCTGCTGCCTCCAACCGTGACAACAGTGCCTTCACCGGGATGACCATGGTGAGCGATGATGCTGAGCCGGACGACATGGTCCTGATCGATGCAATTGATGCTGTCCCTTGCCCACATAGTATGTGTTCGTCAACCCATGAAGAAATGTGTTTTGTAAACAGCCACACTCATTTTCCAGTTCAGAAATCATGCGTAGGTCCGCAGCTGAGCCCAAAATTGCTTTGTAGGTTTGTGGAATCAGTCAAAAATCGCCTGAGCCCTTTGCCCAGGAAGACCACTGAGCCGCACCCTCCAAAGATCCAATTGAGATCCACTGAATGTGCACTTTTCGTAAGTCATGGACCTTATGGCATTGTTGATTTAGGAGCAAGTCAAACAGTGATCGGGGAACAACAACTGCATGAACTCATGACACACCTGCCACCTGATGTGCGAAGAAGGGTCCGTGAAGTGCCATGCAACACCGTTTTCAGGTTCGGAAACAGCAGCACAGTCATGTGTAGCCGAGCGATGCTGGTGCCCCTATCCAAGTGGTATGTCAAGATCTGTGTAGTCAGCTCCAAAACGCCGTTTTTGATTTCCAACAACGTGTTCAGAACGCTAGGGGCACAGATCGATACAGCCTCGGATCATGTGAGTTTTTCCAAGATCGATGTCCGAATGCCTTTGAGTCTCTCCGAAAAGAAGCTGTATCTCTTGGATTTTTGTGAACTGGTCAAGCTCGGTAATGCCAAGGTTTCCCAAGGTGAGAGTCCAGATAAACACAATGTCATGCCAATCATGTCCAGCATAGCCGAACATGACAGTGATGTTTCCAATGCCAGCAAGAGCCAGCCTGACTCTGATGAGCATGTGAAAGAACAGCCGAATGCTCACAGCAGCATTGGCCCAGTGCATTCCGACTCCGATTGCCCTCCAACATCCGACCGTGAATCAAGCGAAGATGGCCGCCATGAATCTCGCCGAACGGCTCCAGGCTGTCACTCAGAACAAGAAGACCGAGGAGTATCAAAAGATGTCGTACGATCAGTTGAGCAAAATGCGCATAGCATTCGGAGAAGCCAAAGTGAACCAGACCTACCTGGAGGTCCTCGAGAACGATCCGAAGTATGTGCAGTGGTTTGTCCGAAAGTACGGAGAAAGCAAGAAGGAAGCCCACAGAGCATTCCTGTACTTCATCAACCTCTACGTGGAACGCTTGGAACTGACCCAGGAAAGTCCAACGACACCGGAGGCTGGAGTGACAGCAGTGGGCACTCAAGCCAAGTCAAAAGCCACGCCGAGGAAGCCGATCGACCTCGAGAGCGAGGAGAGCTGGTCATCGGGAGAGGACAAACCCTGGAGCGTTGTGCAGGAGGAGAATGTGGCCATCCAAGGAGAACTGAGTGTTCAGCGCGAGCGCATTACTCACATGGAGAGCTCACTCTCCCAGATCATGCAGCAACGGCAGAATCTGACGCAGTTGGCCATGCAGAACTCCGGCTGTCAGAATCCGTGAAAGGCTGTGATCTTGATGATGAGCGACAGTCATGGCTTTGTGACGCTGTAGGAAATCATATGATGCATGAGTCTCCTGAACTAGTGGTAGACCACCTTTACTTCTCTCAAGATAATATTTCCCATGATAAACATGACAACGAGATCTATGAAGAAATGTGGGAATATTTTTCCAAGAGGTACAAGGTTTCCAGTTTTCAGGAACTTCATCAACATTGGTCAAAATCCAAGATACACCTTTTGGAAGTTTATTGCAGCGACTCCAGCCAGCTTACTCATCAATGCGAAGCCACAGGACTCACAGCCGTTCGATTTGGGCTGAAACAGGGTGATTTGTCCACATTTGGAGGTAGGTGTAAACTCTATGATGTACTCTGGATATGCCGACCTCAACACATTTGGATGTCTCCCCGTTGTGGACCTTGGAGCTCTTGGAACAGGTTAAACCAATGCAAGTCTTTGAAACTAGAGGCCCTAATCCAGAGTGAGCGAAAAGGAGAGCGCGTCCATCTCCTTCTCTGCGATGCCATGTTCCGACTTCAGGACTGGAGAGGTGACTCTTTCCATGCACATTTGGAACAACCTGCAGGCTCCGAAATGATGAATCAAAAAGAGTTGCACAACCTGGTTTGCCATGCTTTTCGTGTTCAATGTGACATGTGTACAGCAGGAAACCTCCGACATCCCAACTCTCATGAGCACTTGCAAAAGAAAACACAGATTTGGACTACGTCCTTAATCATGTGGCGGATGCTCCAACGATACCAGTGTGTAGGAAGTCATCCTCATGACACCATTGCCGGATCGTGCCATCCCAAGAAATCAGGTAGAATGTCCGTGACCAAGTACTCCGAACTCTACACCGTGTTGTTTAGCAAACGAGTCAGTCGAGCCATCCAATGTAGCTGTCATGTCAGTGAAACTGCATTCGGAGACCGGAGTGAGTTTGTAGGTGTTGCCAGTCCGAGTCACAGCGAAATGCCTGAGCCAAAACGGCGCCGGCTGTCCGGCAAGTTCCAGCCTGAGAGACTGTTTGTCACACCACCGGAATCCGAAGCCAGACCGAATGCCAATGACTCGCACTCCCAGCTGAATCCCATGGATCAAGTGAGAAGACTCCTCCATCTGGCAGAATCATGTGCGCCTAGGGTTGGTAAAATAGTGATCCAAGATGGCCCCCTCTTTGAGGGTGTGCAAGAAGCTTTTCCTGACAAGAAGGTAGTGGTTCTAGATGTCTGCCGGGGAATCAATCGCATGAGAACATGTCCTCTCTCATCAAAAGGCATAGCACCCCTCAGAAGATCTTTTGGCAAGCAACGCAGTGATCTCCTACCGTTTTTGGATGATGCATGGGAATCATGGGAGAGCCTCTCCCACCGCCAGCAGATTCGTGCCTGCACACCATCCCGCATCCTTGTGACAGTGTTTGCCACTAACAAGAGGGAACGTCCAACGAGTAATCCTGAAGATGAAGAAGAGCACAAGAAGTGCAGAACTGATAAGGAAGAAGACATAGGATCCCAACTTGAAAATCCTCCAATGACCATGGAACAAAACCCAAACAGTGAAGACTTGGAGAAGACCACAGAGGTCACCAACCAAAGTGGAATTCCTAGGGTAGGTCCTAAGTCGCATGGTCCTCTCTTTCAACAACTTGATGAGAAGACCCGAGTGATGATCCAGAAGATACATCAGAATCTAGGACCTCCGGATGCGAGGACTTTGCAGCTTGCACTGAAGAGGTACGGTTGGTCTGAAAAAGATGTCCGTGGTAGTGCAGATTTCCAATGTTCCATATGCCTGGAAAAACAGCAACCGAAAGCTCCCCGACCGGGACACCTCGCTCTTCCAAGGGATTTTAATGATCACATTTCGTTTGATGCGGCAGAATGGCAGGATCCACAAGGCAAGAAATACGGCTTCTATCACTTCATAGATTCGGCAACCAATTTTCACGTAGCCATACCCTATATCCAGCAAACGACTGATAGCCTAATTGAAGCATTCAATCAAGCTTGGTTGCGTTGGGCAGGGCCGCCGAAATCTATCATGTTCGACAGTGCCACAGAAGCCAACAGTGAGAAATTTGCCAGGTTCCTTCAGGCCAATGCCATCTCGAGCTATGTGATTCCCACGGAAGCACACTGGCAACTGGGACGGGCTGAACGGAATGGGGCTGTTCTCAAACACATGATCACAAAATATCATGAAGACCATCCTATTCAAAACCAAGAAGATTTCGAACAAGGGCTGATTCACCTCTGTAATGCCAAGAATGCCATGTCTCGTCATGCAGGATACACCCCCGAACTGTGGGTTCTTGGAAAAATGAAACCAGTACCTGGATGTAACTCTAATGTCTATATGGATAGCGCTAGCTACATGGGGCTAGAGGAATCCGAGACAGAAGGAAACAAGTTCCAAGAGATGATGTCCCGCAGGGAAAGTGCCAGACTTGCCTTTGTGAGAGCTGATCACAGTGCAGCGGTCCGAAAGGCCATCCATGCCAGATCCCGACCAGATCGGATGACCTTCAGTGTAGGTGATATGGTCATGTACTGGAGAGCCGGTAAAGGAGTAGAAGAGGGTGCATGGCATGGGCCTGCGAAAATCCTCATGACCGAAGGAAATAACTTGGTGTGGATTAGTCATCTTACTAGGTTATATCGGTGTGCTCCAGAACATGTCAGACGCCTTTCCGAAGACGAAGCCCAAGGGATCTCGCTGCAGGAACTTCAAACGTTCCAGCTGCCCAACCGCACAGGGACTGGAGTCTTTCAATTCCGAGAACTGTCCACTCAAGCCAGCCCAACTACCACCAATCCAAGATCCACCCATAACATCCATAATGAACCCGATACTATAATCCCTAATCCACCTGTAACTGATAATAATCCCGATAATCCTCCACCATCAGTAGGACAGCCCGATGATGAACCCGGATGCCAAAATGCTGACCCCTCAAGACCACCAACGCCGACCGAAGAGATCCCAGATCCTGCGGTCATCACCCCGGTGCCTGAAGAGACAGATGATGATCTAATTGCTGTGGATCAGACCAGAGACCACTGGGAAGTCCAAGGGGATACCCTGATCCGTCACCATGTCATTCCTAGGTTGCGAATGTTTTTTCCAACTGATGCCTGGAAATGTCCCGTGGATCACAGTTGTCTAACTGGTCAACGTGAAACGATTGGTACGTTTGTCTCAGGTGGTGAGTTCCAGCGGATGGATGCATGGAACACTGAAGTCCAAGCCCATAGAGCCCAACCAGAGCCATGGACTGGAACAACCAAGTTCCAGATACAAGGACCTATGAACATGGAACCATGCATGCATGTCGTAGATGGAACAAAGGACACAGTCTCATGTTGCGAAGCCGAAATACTCCTCACCATAGATGATTTCCATAAATGCCTGGGAAAACCCTATGACTTTCAAGAAACCTTTCTTGCCTCAGCCGCCAAAAAGCAGAAAGTAGAAGTAAAAGTGAAAGAACTCTCATTAGAAGAACAAAAGATGTTTCTCAAGGCTAAGGATAAAGAACTTGAATCATGGCTATCCACGGATACAGTGAGAAAGATTCTCCGGAATAAGGTTCCTGAAGGTCAGTTATTGCGATCCAGATGGGTATTGTCATGGAAACCACTTGATGAGATTGAACAAAAAGAAGTAGGCACCGCCAAGAAAGCCAAAGCGAGATTGGTTATCCTAGGATATGAAGATCCACTTCTAGACAGTCTCCCCCGGGATTCACCGACACTTGGCAGGGATTCTCGTATGCTTGCACTTCAGTGCATTGCGAGCCATCGATGGTCTGTGCGATCCTTCGACATCAGGACGGCGTTTCTTAGAGGAAGCCGACAAGATGGGAGAATTTTGGGTATGGAACCTCCCCCTGAACTCCGATTAAAAATGAAATTGCAAGACTCCGAAGTTTGTGAACTCTTAAAGGGAGCATACGGCCTGATTAATGCACCTCTTTTGTGGTATTGCGAACTGAAAAATGCTCTTTTGGGGTTAGGTTTTGTGATGTCTCCGTTTGATCCATGTTTGTTCACCTTGCCCAAAAAGAATCCCAAGAAGGAAGAATGCCAAATCCATGGTGTACTGGGGATACACGTAGACGATGGAATCGGAGGTGGAGACCATGTTTTCAACCAAACTATAGCGACACTAGAGAAGCGTTTTCCTTTTGGAACACAGCGACAAGGAAGTTTCACGTTCACTGGAATCCAAATTCAACAAGAAATCAATGGAGAAATTTTCCTCGGTCAAAAAGAATACGTCCAAGATATACCCCCAATAAACATTCCCAAAGATCGCCGAAAGTTTCCAGAAGAAAAGATCACGACCCAAGAACTTCAAGAGTTGCGCGGTTTGATTGGAAGTCTCCAGTATGCGGCCACCAACACGCGGCCTGACATCTCATGTCGTTTGAGTCTCCTTCAAGCCAGGATCACATGTGCTACAGTGAATGATCTCCTCCAAGGGAACAGACTTCTTCATGATGCAAAAAGATTTGCCGAAACCAAAATCAGAATCCAAAGTCTTGATCCAAAAAAAGTGAGATTCATGTCATATTCCGATGCAGCTTTTGCCACACGCGAGAAAGCAAATTCACAAAAAGGTTGTTTAATCCTTGCCACAACAGATGAAGTTGATCAGATGAAAACCTCTAGGGTAAGCCCGTTGGTTTGGTTCTCGAAGAAAATAAATCGAGTAGTATCCAGCACCCTTGCATCAGAAACATTTGCACTATCCGGAGCTCTTGATCTTTTAAGTTGGACACGCATGCACTGGAGTTGGATCCTAGACCCAAACCTTCCATGGAAAGAAACAGAAGCCACCCTCAAGAAGCTGCCTGTTGCCTATGCCGTAGTAGACTGTAAGAGTCTTTTCGATCTCTTGCAAAAGACATCCATACCACAATGCTCTGAGTATCGGACACTCCTCGAAGCACTTGTAATTAAAGATCGACTCAGTGAAGGGGTAATCATAAAGTGGGTCCATAGTGCCGCTCAAATGGCAGACGCGTTGACCAAGGACATGGACACTAGTGTGTTGTTATCCTTTCTCCAAAAAGGTCAGTGCATCTTGCATGATCCTGAGGAAATCTTGAAGCAGAGAGCTGATAAGCGTGTCCGACAGGCATGGTATCAACAGTCGAATGGGCTAGAGACAGCACTGCATGTTTTTGCACTCAGCCTTGGCCTCTAAAGAGGACTCATTTCCGATGCGAAGTCTCCGGAATGATTTCAATCTTGCGACACCAGGTGAATTCAATGAAGGGAAATTCCCGAAATTTTGTGACTTCAGAATAGAACTTGAGAAGCAGCCTAAGAACGTAAATCCTGCTGCCTTGATGCCTTTTTTTTCCGTGCATGCCAAAAAAGAAAACGATGACATACCACTTGTCCATCCGTAATTACATAAACCTAAAAATACAAAATAAAAATATATTTTTAAGGAGTGTAATTTCCATGCCAAACCTTGACATAACTTGAAGGTATAGGAAGATTCTCCCGACAACGAGTTGTACCTTGAATCACCTGCGGGAAACCTCTTGTTGTGCCTTAGAAGGTGCGGCTCAGGGTGGCCATAGCAAAGGGCTTTAGGATGCCCCTTTAATCGGTGATTTGCTGCGGTCGGCCATTGGAAAACATTGCGCCTGCGGCCTGGCGCTTGGTGAAGCTTGGTAGGACCTGGGGTCCCAATTTTCCTTCCTTGGTTAGCTCGGGGGCTTGGCTACCTTTGTGGGCAACCACAATATATATACACACATACACATTGCGTATGTGTATACATATATATATATACATATATTCCTTTACATACATATCCATACATGCGCAATGTAAGTTCAGCAAAGGTTTCAACACTTCAAACGCTTTCGAAGCATGCTCTGAGAGGATCAAGAGACCTTCAGACCCCACAATAGACTTATTTCGCCGCCGGCCGCCGGCCACCGGCCACCGGCCACCGGCCACCGGCCACCGGCCACCGGCCATCGGCTACCGGCCAGCCATGCCACCGGCCAACGGCCACCGGCCAGCCCTGCCACCGGCCAGCCATGCCACCGGCCACCGGCCACCGGCCATCGGCTACCGGCTAGCCATGCCACCGGCCAACGGCCAGCCATGCCGCCGGCCATTGGCCACCGGCGGCCAGCCATGCCACCGGCCACCGGCCACCGGCCACCGGCCATCGGCTACCGGCCAGCCATGCCACCTGCCAACGGCCACCGGCCAGCCATGCCACCGGCCAGCCATGCCACCGGCCACCGGCCACTGGCCACCATCGGCTACCAGCCAGCCATGCCACCGGCCAACAGCCACCCATGCCGCCGGCCATTGGCCACCAGCAGCCCGCCATGCCACCGGCCAGCCATGCCACAGCCACCGGCCACTGGCCACCGGCCATCGGCTACTGGCCAGGCATGCCACCGGCCACCGGCCACCGCTTCCGGCTAGCCATGCCACCGGCCAATCGCCATCACCCACCCACCCACCACCATTTGCCACCGGCCGCTACCCGGAACGAGGAAGCGGAGTTTCGTTAAAGGTTGCGAAAACATTGATATATACATTCTCACATGTGAATGGCATGCCCCAAACTGAGCCCGTTGATTTGTCTCCAGTCACTCTAGTCACCAACCGCTTGCCAGGCGCTTGCGCTGCCTTAAAGCCCACATGCAGGCGTGCTGCTTTGGGAATCCTGTACTTTGTTGGGCGTTTCTGTTGTTGACAGGTGGCCAACACATGAAGCAATCATGTTCCATCTTCGCTGGGTGCATGGCTGCTTTTCTTCCAGTCAACGTGATGTTGCTGGCAGGAATCGTATCATTACCAAAGCCGTTTTCGTTCAGGCACTTATAGCAAACTGGCAGACATACTGCAACACTTGACCAAGCAGTTGCTAGCCATGCCGGCGTCTACGGATGAGTTGTCAGACCTGGATACGGATGGTTTGCTCCAGCATGCCTTGGATGTTGTCCGGGACACTTTCTCATCCGAACATCTTCCTCAAAGTATCCACGACTTTCTCCTTCCCATCAGTGTCGCGACTTGCCAAGGCTTGTTTGCAACCACAACGATGTTGGCTGCCGCCATGCCAGCCCTAACAAATGGTGCTTCGGTAGAGCTGTGGTCTCAGAAACCATCACCCTTGGCTCTGCTAGCTATTCATGTGGCCAAGCCCCAGAAAGGCAAGAGCAGGCTGCACAACGCTCTCGAAATGCTGTTCGCATCTTGGTGTCCGCATGAGTCGTAGCTTTCTTCTTTCTGCAAGCGTTTGTTGGGTTCATCTATAAGCTTGTTTCATGTCATCCAGTTCCATTGTGCTAAGGAGCAAGCCGATGTATGTGTCCAGCAGTTGGCCACAGAGCATGGCAAAACCTTGCGGGGGGACACAGAAGGCGATGCCGCAGTACCATTCGTGGCAAAATCCGTCAGTGTCCAGAGTCACTATGTCTGAGTTTTTCTATCGGTGCAGCACTGATTTTCCTCAAATTGAGTATGGCACCAAGAAAGACAAAGACACTGCCCGCTTGTGGTATGGACAGGCATGGAATTTGGACGAGGCCTACGAAATGCTGGAGAGCTTGAGCCTTTTGGATTGCCCTGGCGACAAGGCCCGCTCCGGAGCAGTCAACCCGCATGCTTCCACCTTGAATACTCTGATCCAACGCGGAAAGACCAAGAGGGCAACGAGAACATCCACCACGTATGAAGGGAACAGTTCTCAACACATCAGCCTCAGCATCTGGGGCAACGCCCACCCTTCGAAAATCATTGCGATGGAGCGGGGCCTACAAGGACAGCACACTGCCGCAACAAAGGAGAGATTCCTGCTGTGTGTTGACCACAGCGTGGCTCGCCATGATGCTCTCCCTCAGAGCATGTTGGATGCTGATCCTGACTTACCGCAGTGGACCTGGCTTCCACTCACTCCTTTGCAGGCCACTATTTTTGGGTGGACTGATGTTGTGGGGAATCCAAGCTACTTCAGCGACAAGGCGGACGTGGCTGATGAGGAGCATGGGGAGGAAGGCTTTCCCATGACTTTGCCAGATGGGGTTCCTTCGCGTGCTCGCTTCGTGGCCATTGCTGGAGGCCCGGTGTCAAATTCAATATACTGGTGTCTAACTTGCTCTGTTCTAGCTCCGCTTCCTTGTTTTTCCAGTTCTTGTCCATGTTTCCTTCTTTCCTTTGCAGGGGGCTTGCAGACAGAATTTCGCATTTCTGGGCGCTGGCACATGCAAGACCCTACCAAGCATTTGCAATCTGGCGCTAAGCGTGTGGCGGACTTCTTTCGTGGCCGCCCACATTCCGTGCTGGCCATGGAAGAAACTGCTCGCAAGATGCTTCTGGGTGGCTTGGAATGAAGTTTATTGACATATCCCCCAGCTGTGTTCATGTGGGGATTCTCATACTGGGTTTACTTTCACGAGCCACACATAGAAATCCATTGAGACCTTCGGCTTACATGGTTTCTCAGGCAACCAAGTTGCTCAAAGCGTTCGGGCAGAGACTTCGGATTCTTCAATGCAAGCACTTCACGCCGCAGCAGCAGCTCACCATGGCCAAGTTTCTGCTGCAATAGCTGTCTTGGCTTTGGCTAGTGGCGACAGCACTGTTGATGAGGCTGGCAATTTGCTCGTGACTGCGAAGCACGTTGAGGCGAGATGTTTCCCAATTACACCATTGCTTCATTATTAAAATGCCAAATGTGTTCGTTCTCTGGCGCCTTTACTTAGTGATCTATAGTCTATAGATGACAAGTTTTCTCGCATTTGCGTTCCAACGGGCTCCGTGCAGGTGGCAAGTCGGCTCGTTGAATTGAATTTGCAGATCCGCTCCGTGTTCTGTGGGCCTCTACCTTCCTCTGGTGAGCAACCGGAAAATTCAGACAGTGAAGCCAACATCTCCAAGCCTGTGAGGAATTCCGGTGTGTTTGCAGAGCCAGCCGCACCACAACCCAGGCCACGCGTTGCAGTTGAGCCTGCAAAAGAACCTGTCTCACCGCCTGCTCCACCTATTGAGATTGCGCACCAGCCGGTGGAGCTTCAGGATTTGGAGGAAGGGGTTCCAGATGAGGAGATGGAGCCGGATGAAACACCTTTGGGTTTTTCTCACATGCCGTCTGAACTGTTCAAGCAAGGATTGGGCACAGACAACGCCATGATCTTCCAGGACAAGTTGTTTCAGGACCGCATGCTAGTTCAAAAAGTTCTACTCAGTGGCCAAAGCAGGTTTAAATTGGGTCGTATTGTGGACCTCTACCACCACATTGACACCAAGGTTGAGAACAAACGTCGCAAAATCCGTCCAGCGCAGGGGCAGGCCAGAACTTTGGCAAGGGATGTTTCTTGTCCTTACCCTTCTGCATGTATTTAGTCACATGGGTCAATCAACTAACACATATAATCTCTATACAATTATTGCCGCTCCGTTCCTTGCCATCTTGCAGGTGAAGGACGTTTTGGTTGCAGCGTTTCAGCGCTTTCCTCGCCTGGGCTACGTGGACGAAAAGGTGGTGCCAAATTCAAACGGCAGGAAAGATGTCACAGTGGTTTTGCGAGGCTGGTCCACAAATCCCTCTAACCAGATCCGTTTCCACAACCAGGCCATGCAGTGCTGCAAGGTGTCCATTCGGGACATCTCAAAGAGGAGAGCCCTGTGGCATGATCGCCAGGCAGGGGCGCAACCAGCCCAAGAAAGCGCAGTGGATGAGGCCCCAGCTCGTGATCCACCGCAAGATCGGAGATCTTCAACGGATTCTCGCACCTCGGCCCCTGCCACGCCGCCAGCGTGATGCTGAGACACGCTTCAAATTTTAAGGGCGACGGCGAAGGCCAGCAATTTTGTAATGTTAGAGCTCCGGCTCAGACACTCCAGCTTGCGATAGCTAGCTACATGATTCATACGCGCCCAGGATCTGAATCTTTCATGGCATATCATATCAGTTCTGATGTCATCGCTTAGAACTCATTGAAACACTCATGGCTAGCAAGTGGCAGGCGCGTCAAAGTCCGGACAGGAGACAGGAAGACGTTTGTGCTTTTGGACAGAAAAATGGCTGGTGTGCGCTACGGCTTAGACTTTCCAACCTGATGGCTTCTGTTCTCGCGTCTACATCATTTTAAATCTGAATTTGAACTTGCTCTTGAAACTTGAGCAGGCCAGGTTACTGTGGATGCTTTGTCCATGCCGCAGGTGCTGTTTCTTTCTGCTTTAGGATACGGTGTGGCGCTGTATCTTCCGCAACCCCGTTGTGCGTGGTATGGCGGTGCAGTGGGTGTCTTCATGTCGCACACATTGTCCTCACTGCAGGTCTGAGCTGCAGGAGCCGATCTACAAGGAAGGCAAGAGGCAGAGGGGCGTTGTGATGTGTCAAATCGTTGCCGAGCCCAAGACTTTGCAAGCCCTTCATGTTGTCCGGTGGTGTGGGCGTGGTTGCGAAGGCAAAGGTGTCAAATATTGGTGTGGCTTTCTGGAGAGGCCTGTAATGATTCGCCAACACAGAGTCCTCGTCAAAGCCATTGATGAACCCCATGGTGAATTTTTCTTCTTGAACAAGAGCTGGGGGGTAGCACACACATGGCTGCGACGATGGCGGTATCGGATGCTCCTCCACAGAGCTTCCTTCTTGGGCGAAGGTGTCCTTCTCCGCCTGCTTGATTCATCTGTGCAAGTTAAAGTCCGTCAGAACTTGTCTGCTGCTTGGGCGCGCGAAATTTTGTGGAGGAGAGCTAGCGAAATTGGTGGAGAAGTGCAGGAGGGTTTGGCGAACAAACTTTTGTCTTTGCCACTTGAGAAGCTTGTTGAAAGTTGCTGGAGCTGGTATGAGCCCCATATGTTCCAGAGGCCGGGGTGCTGGGTATGTATATGTATGCTATGCGACACGGTTTTCTACCAATTTCTGTTCTATATGCTTTATTCAATAGCAATCCATTTGTAATAATGGACGACAAGGTTTCACAAAGCATCTCCTTGCTCCCTTCCAGGCGTCTGCAGCAGTTCCATGCTTCCGGGGACAGACAAGACATTTTGGCCATGGATGGAAATTGCAAGCTTCACCGAAGAACCTGTGGGGTCCCCTGTGCAGAAATTCTCGAGTCGCCGCACGTCAACAAACTCTTGATGCGCGGGTGTAGCTGCAAGCCATCCGCCAAGGACACTCTTTGCCACAGACACATGGAAGACCGCGACCGGCCAGTGCCTCCTATGTATGCCGAGATTGGGCACCACCGGCTCAAGAAGGCTTTGCATAGCCCTGGGGATGTCTGCTTTTTGGAAATCGAAATGTCGGGCTACCGCGGTTGGATTCCGGCCAACACAGTCCCAGAGGAAGCTTTGGCGAAGTATTTTGCTGAGGGCGCGAGCCGAAACATTGAGATGAGGACCGTCAGCTCGCTGATTCGGCGTCGTTGCTTGCTTTGTTCTCTTTTTTTAATTTCCCCTTCTTCTTCTGAACAACCATAGGGCATGCGTGCAACATGGCAATAGCTTTGAAACTTGTTTGATGCAGGAGGCAGCGGAGCAAGGAGTCCCGGCAAGCAAAAAGGGGCGGCATGCGACCACGAGGTCCCAAAACTTTTTTGGCTTCCTGGTCTTTGGCACAGCCACGTGCAAGCAGCTCTTGTCAGACACAGAAGGAGTCAGAGCAACATGTTGTGGCTGCTGCTCGAACAGCAGGTACCTACTTGCCGTCAGTGAGTCAGGACTGCTTTCAGTAGAGTCCTAGTTCGGTTAGTGTCGGTTATGTTTCGTGTGTGTCGTGCACCTCAGCCGATTCTTTCCAGGACTGGTAGCAGACTTGCATGAACTCATTGGTGCGGAAAGCTTGTCGCAAAGATACCATTTCGTGACGATGTTAGCTCATCGCTTGCCGGTCCTGCAGATCCTAGTCCACGATGACGCTTGTCACCTCCTTTTCATGTGCAGGCAGCACCAGCGTTCTTCAGCTCTAGCAGACCGCTTGGGGAAGTTCAATTTCATCGTTGACCGCTTCCATGCTTCTGGTCATGTTGGGGGTTTCTGTCGTGAGCATTGCATGCCCGACTTGCCCAAAAACAAATCAATACTCTCCACTTTTCCCACAGACATTGCCGAGAGCGTCAACAGCCAGTTCTCTCCTCTTGGACACGTCGTACACCACATGAACAAATGGTTCTGCCAGCTCTTCGTTCAGGCTGGGCCCTAGAACACCCAAGAATGCAAGAAGGCTATTTTTTGGGTTCGGAAAAACACACCTAATCTCACAGCATTCCCATCTTCTAGTATAGCTCTGGCTCTGGGCCAGTTGCAACGCAGGAGATGTGTGATGTGCACAACATGGCACACTTGCAAGCTATCAGGGACCGTGCGCGTGCGAAGAGAAAACGAGGACCTGCCATGCTTTGCCCACTTCCGCAAGTATTCTTTTACAGTCTTAGCAGGCAACGGCAATTCATATATGAAGCAAACAGGTGAATCTTCCAGTCAGTAGTCGCCGCAAGCATCTTGTGCAGGACAGCTAGACTCTTGAAGAGTGTGTCCATGCAGTTTTCTGCTTCTGGGCTTCGGCAGCCAGACCTGAACCGGAACGAGCGTAGTTGCATATGTGGCAACAATTCCCTAGTCGGTCTCTGGTGACAAAAAGATGGGTCTTGCTCTGCACGAACCAGACAGAGCCTTCCCATTGCCATCGCTTGTCCGCATTTTGAATTATGTGTAGCGCAGGTCTTTCCATCAGCTGCTTCGGGGCCATTCCTTGTTAGTGCCTCAGACAGTCCATGCTGCCTCCATTTGTCTTTGTGGCCACTGTTGCTTGCTACAGTGGTTCTATCGTTTCCTGTTATGTTGTTGCCCACAAATCCAGAAACTCCGCCAGTGCGCTTGTGATTTTGGCGACCTGGGGAACCAAAAGTTTTCTTGCAGATGTAAATTGAATATGACAGACTTTGGTTGTTCGCCGCATTATATAGGCCTAGGTTGAACAGCGATCAAATCAGTTGTACCCGTCTTATAGAACTTATAGAATGAATGCCCATTGTGGATTAAGTCAGATGAACTTGATCAAACTGGCTGTCGTTACGTTTGCCCTCCCAAATCTTTATGGCGGCCATCTCGGAGGATTAATCTATAAAACTAATGCTTTCCATGAGGGGAGGCCGAGGCACGGGAAATGCGAAAATTGCTTCATGTACTTGCATGGGGCATGCGCAAAGCAAGCAATGTGTTGTCGGAATCATATTACCAAAATAATGGCCCTGACATAGTCAATAGATTTCAATAGATGGTCGAAAGCCACCAAGTGATCAAGAGAGTCCTGACCAACATAGCCACAGCCGCACAGGCACCATCTTAGCTGAACAAAAGGAGGGACGGTGCAACTGCAAGCTGATTTGCTGACAGGGCTGCGGTTCCTCACGCATTGCCATGTGCGATTTTTATGGGAACACTTTCTTAAAACTACCCAGCCCGCCACCGCCCTCCAGCCACCGGCCGCCTGCGTCGCGCGCTGGCCACTGGCAACCGGCCACCGGCCGCCGGCCACGCGCCAGTAACCATGTAGCACCCCCAGCCGCGGACAGCCACGACCACCAGCCACCGGCCACCGGCCAACGGCCACCGGCCACCGGCCAGCCACGACGACCAGCCAGCATCCACGGCCACCGGCCACCGGCCAACGGCCACCGGCCACCGGCCAGCCACGACGACCAGCCAGCATCCACGGCCACCGGCCACCGGCCAACGGCCACCGGCCACCGGCCAGCCACGACGACCAGCCAGCATCCACGCCCACCGGCCACCGGCCACCGGCGCCGGCCAAGACAAAATTAGTCAATCCCCTCAGACCACGATGGGAACATCAACGTTGAAAGACTTTGTGAATGGCTAAGATCATTTTATATTTGAATCGTTTTTCAATAGCAAAAATATCATATCTATTTAGAGATCTATTTCATATGTATAAATATAAATAAATATATATATATATAATTTGCTGCTTCCTATACTAGCTATCATCATTTTGGTGATGCTTGGAACAGTAGTTTTTCCAAAACAACTCATGTCGGATCTTGGCGCGTTTATGCCAAAGAACCGGCATATCATCGAACTGTTTGTAAAGCCATGTCATAACCAGGCATGAAAAAACGATGGTTTACAGCAGCCATAAACATATCCGTGAAACACGGACCAATGTAATTCCACATCCCGAAAAAGAGACCGACTCTAAGTATGGAATCATCCCCAGGGTTTACCAGCATATGAAAACAACCTAGTCAAATATATATATATATATATTTAATGTCAGATATTTCAAGATAAGACACAGAAACATGGCAATTCAGGTGCTGGACAGCCCTCAGGGATTGCATCTGGAGGCGCCTTGCAACACCTTGAGATGTGCTGAGAGACTACTGAGAGACTACCTGAAACGAAGTGGAGAGATTCAAACAGTGCTGGTTGGATCATGATCGAACTCCAAGAAATAAATTTTTGCCTCAGGACCTGCCATGACTGGCTCATTCCGTTTGGCATCACAGAAAACTGGGGGGTTCCTACAAAAATTGGGGGGACCCTAGTGATCCTTCAATCGTCATGGATGACCATGATGACTAGTATTGAAATCCATGGTGACTTGGGGTACACCCAATGATGGACACCTCCAAATATGACCCCTACAGCTGATGGGTTGCCAGGCAAACCTTCAGTCTGATCTGATGGCAGGCGTTCTGGACCCTGCTGGGGTTTTGAACCACGGCTCCCCAGAGATGAAATCTAATTTGGGGTAGTTCAACATGACCTAAAATGATGAATACGTGGTATAGGAAACATATAACAATGATACATAATTAACAAACATGACACCACAGTATAATAATGATATAGGAACAACAACCATGATATAATCATAAGACGATTAAGGATAAACATGATACTGTGAGCCAACAATAGTTATGGTAATTCTGAACCCTAAAGAAATTTGTTTCTTTTAAAATGGAGTAAGATATGGAGAGTGAAGGGCATGTCAATATATAATCTGACGCAAATTGCTGGTGTTTCATGTCCTTTTGAACTTGGGACCTTCAAAATAGGCAGCACCAAGTGAAGGTGGCCCACGGGGCACCAATGGATGACTTCTTTTGAGATTGATTGTCTTCGAAGACCAGAGTGTCCTATATGATTCATTTCTGGGGTCAATGATTGTGAGACGCAACAATTTTAAGGTCAAATAGTGACGCCCAAATGTATATCAATATTATCCGATATTATCATTGGCCAATAGTCTTCAAGACTATTCAATATTATCCAATTTTAAGGTCAAGTTTCTTGAAGTCTTGCAATCTTCCATTGACCTTGGAGTTTGAAAAAGGACCGCAGCCAAGCAGGTACCGCAAGCGATGCGGTGCATTCTCAGCCGTTGCAGGCGCACGTTTCAGATCAGTTTGGTGCATATAGTGGATACACCACTGATATAAGAGCCTGGCAACAAAATTGACCAGCACCAACAAAATTGTAACCGAACCAGAGTTGTTTTGGGAGTATGAGTTTTATGAATCATGTATATAGATAAACTCTGACGGTCACGTAACCACCAGTTCTACATATACTCATACCACACTTTGTTGAGTTAGGTTATCGGGTTGGTCGGTAGAGTGGCTACAGTCAAATAGCCCCGCCAGGGTGTCCTGTTACCTGGTTGACCGCTGGGCTATCTGATATAAGTCATATATATATATTATACACATATATATATACACAATTCTATAATCTTGTGTCTAATTTCTTTTCCCTTTTGTAAGTAAAATTATCAATTTTCTATTCTTCGTTTGTTCATTGCTCATGTTCCCATTTGGGATATTCCCAGAAGGATTGCGCCACAACAATCGTCCTATTTTTTGGGGCAAACACGGTTTTCGTGGGATGATTTAACGGGTGCCCTGAATGGAGGCATACATCTTACACACCCGGCCAGACCGCACAAGATGGTGCTGATGCTGCCTCCGAAGTGACAGGCAAAGTTGAGAGCCTATAGAACTGCTAAGACATGTGGCAACGATCAAAACGAAACCCTTTTTTGTGGAGTATGTTTCGATTTTAAAACTCCACCAAATGGTTTATTTAAAGTCGAGTAGAGTTGGGTATGATTGATATGATGGAGATGGTTCATAGCAGCATTAGAAGCAGTGTCACATCAAATTCATGACACCGCCCTATGAGGTGCTGCCAGCACGGTGAGCAGTGCCAGTGCGGCAGGGGAGGAGAACTGGCAGGTGACCGGGACATGAGTTGCAGCAGGCCTAGTGGAGTGCAATGCGCAGCATGCCCAGCCATCATGGAGTGCATAAAGACCCTCAACCGTAACCAGTCAGGGTTTATGAAACCAGCATTCCTCAGGCTGTGACATCACAGATATTGAACTAATGTTTAGGTGACAGCGTGTGGAAAAGCAAAAATTGCAATCAGATATGAAAGAGATGATGTTCAGTGCTAGAGGTTCTGCCGCTGAGTCTTGGACCTTCAGACCATCAGATCTATGAGACCTAGCGGTGCAAACATGTTCAGCCGTGGGGTACAAAGAAGGAGTACGAGGACAGCACTATGGTCGACATGAACCTTTTGGTTCTCCAAAGAGTGTGTTCACACTGAGGGGTTCTTATGGTAGGACTTCAGGCCGGTGCTTGATCAGGGTTTGGCGTTTTTCCCTGTAAATTTCCGCATAAAATGGTTCTCGCGACATGTCCATGTGCATTTCACAACTGCGCAGGCTCGCGCAAAAAACTGTTGTCGCGGGCCTAGGGCGCGGCATTTTCCTTGAACATTTTCCCATCAAACGGCTCTTCTGAGATGTCCTTGTGCATTTCGATTGCGCAGGCTCGCACAGACGGTCATCCTTGTGAGAAGATCTTGTGGAGATCCTTGTGAAGTCCTCTGTAAGAGGTCCTTGCATGATCTTGTACAGGCCCTTGTGAGAAGATCTTGAAGTAAAATCCTCTGGGTGTCGTTGCATGACTTTTACAGGTCCTTCTGAGAAGATCTTGTGGAGATCCTGTTCGGATCCTCCCTAAGGGGCCTTGCATCAAGATCTTGATTGAAGATGCTCTGCATGATCCTGTGCAGGTTCTTAACAGAAGATCTTGTTGAAATTCGGGTGAGATCCTCTCTCAGAGATCCTTGCATGAAGATCTTGCAGATGCCATATCGTCCAGGTGCTTGTATGAAAGTTCTTGTGGGAGGCTCTTGGGAGGTTCTTGTCTCAAGATCTTGTAAGCTCCGCTCCAGCAGCAGGTCCTTTTATGACGATCTTGTGAGCTTAGTTCTTCTGGGATGCTGATAGGAAGTTCTTGTATGCAGATCTTGTGAGCTCCTCCATACAGACCTACATAGAAGGTCCTGCTGCTGCAGTTGCGATGATGTCTAAAACCTCATCTGTTACTGCTCTACAGCTACTGCTGCCTCTGGTACATTGACTTCCTACCGCCCACGCTGTTTGGGGTTTCTTGTGTGATCACGCAATTGTTTGACCTGCATGACTCAGCCACTGCCTGTTTTGAATTCGGAGTCGCCCTGCAAATTCCTCATGCAATTATATGCATTTCTATAATTATACGCATGAAATTTCCATATATTTCCTCATTTGGTCGTTTTTGACTTTTGACCTAGATAAAATTTAACCCACCTGATGCAACGTGTCCTTAGTTTTGGTGCCAGGTGTTGCAAAGCAGTTCCCTGAAGATTGCCGTCCTGGCAGATGGAGGACATGTTGCTTTCATACCTCGTGGGGGATTCCTCATCCATCGCTTTCGCTTTATGGAGCCCCAAACAAGAAGATGCAGAAAAGATTCGATTCATGAAAAACAACAATTCAACCAACATAGTGGCAAAATTACCCATTGAAACTGTTCTGCATCTTGTTTGGGGGTTTCTAAATGTCATGTGGGTGGATCTAGAGAATCCATGGTACGTGGCCACGCTCTCAGATCTCAACACCTTCGATTTTCCTTTGGATCGGCTCAACAAAAACAGGACAGAAAAGGTAGCAAAAAGAAGAGAGTTTGAACTCATATGGCAAGATTCGGTGACATTTTCAGGAATCATCAAGACGTGGTCAAAAGTTGGATCAAAACCAGTGGCACGTGAATCGCCTTCCTTTCTGCCTTTCCCTGCTCGCCTCGCTGAGTACGCCATGGGCAGTTCCTGGAGTTAGGACATGGGGGCCATGTGCTGCGGCGGCCGGCAGCGACAGGAAGCAGTTGCAGATAGCGAGGAAACCAAGAAGTGGGATGCTTGGCAGCTCAGCTTGGGGAGTTACTTTTCTATTTTTTGATGTATATTACGGAGGATTTTGGAGGATCACTATCGATCAGATTTTTGAAACTCTGAGGGGAAAGGTAGCAAGCTGAGCTTGTTGATTGTTTGGGAAACCTCCTGAGTGCTCAGTTTGTGCCGATCTTCAATGATGTTCAATTGTTTTAGGGAAGTTCATGTTTTTTTACACCGGGAAGGTGGCAGAAATGTCAGGAACTCTAGGGCCGGCCGAAAGTCAGGCCCTACAAGGTTCTCAGTTCTGAGGGTTTGTAAGCAAGGTTTGCAAAGGTCCACAACTTTCAAGCAAGTCAATATAGTATAATACGTCATCAATAAAGTGTGTGTGTGTATATATATATATATACATATCATATAATCAATATATTGAAACAAAATCTATGTAACTCGTTCAGACATGTGTGGGACTGTTTCTGAATTCTTAATTTGTGCAAAGATCAAATGTAGGCAGAGGAATTGTTTCCAAACGGTCCTTGAAGGATCTTGAAGGAAGACTCAGCGAAGTGCCGTTACCCCCATGATGCACTTCCCATTTCGGTCTGTGCAAGGCTTGAATACTTTTGGTTGATTACAGGATCATGTGATACTGCCATAAACCAAACCATCCCCCAAATTACAATTTCTATGGGTGGGGTTCCAACAATCCCCAGATTATAGGTTTGTGGCACTGGGCTTACCACATGATTCTTACTGTCAATCATGACCAATTCAACAGTTTTATCGCGTTCTCGACCTCGCCAAATTTGGTTAAGTTGGTGCATCCCGACTTTTGATCCACCATCAGTATGGGTGAAACTTATTAACACCCCCAAAATGGATGATAAACCCAAGGTTACCGAACTGTCTCTCTCTAACTGTCTATCTAAAATTATCTATAATTATCTATGTCTATCTATAGTACTATATTATCTTTAATTATCTAAAATTAACCAAATCTATCTATGATTACCTATTTCTATCTAAAAATATCCGTATCTATCTATATTTTCCTATTTCAGTCTATAATTGCCTCGTTCTATCTATAATTATCTATCTCTATCTCTATCTATCTATCTATCTATCTATCCATCCATCCATCCATCTATCTATTCATTTATCTTTCTACTGTCTCTCTCTCTCTCTCTCTCGCGCGCCCCCTCCCTCCGTCCCTCCCTCCATCCATCCATCCATCTATCTAATCCTATCTAATCCTGTCTAATCCTATCTAATCCTGTCTAATCCTATCTAATCCTATCTAATCCTATCTAATCCTATCTAATCCTATCTAATCCTTTCCAGTCCTATCTAGTCCTATCTAATCCTATCTAATCCTATCTAATCCTTTCTAGTCCTATCTAGTCCTATCTAATCCTATCTAATCCGATCTAATCCTATCTAATCCTTTCTAATCCTTTCTAGTCCTATCTAGTCCTATCGAATCCTGTCAAGTCCTATCTAATCCTTTCTAATCCTTTCTAGTCCTATCTAGTCCTATCTAATCCTATCTAATCCTATCTAATCCTATCTAATCCTTTCTAATCCGATCTAATCCGATCTAATCCTATATCTCTCTCTATCTAACTATCTATCTATCTATCCATCCATCTATCTATCTATCTATCTGTCTATCTATCTATCGATCTATCTATCTATCCATCTATCTATCTATCTATCTATCTATCTATGTATCTATCTATCTATCTATCTATCTACTATCTATCTATCCATCGATCTATCGATCTATCGATCTATCGATCTATCTATCTGTTTATCTATCTATCTATCTTTCTATCTATCTATCTATCTGTCTATCTATCTATCTATCTATCTATCTATATATATATATATATATTAGGCACTCAACAGCAAACATGGACATTTTTTCCCACGCAAATGTGGATTCAAGTGCCTAACAAGATACTCAGTTATTTGTGTTTTTTTTCACAATAGAGTCCCAGGACACTAATGGGTATACAACATTAAGTCGCTGAGGACGAAGTCCATCCCAAAATCCCAAGAATTAACCCAAAAGTAAGCCAAACTGCAGGTAAGTCTACCACGGAGCACATTGGATCCTTAAATGACACCCTGGGTTTGGGGGTCGCTCAGGAGTTCGTGCTGCAAGGACAACGCCCCAGCGAGTGACTCGGCTCGAGCTGAAAAACGTTGGGATTGAAGTGACTAACGAGCTATGGCATGGCGGACGGCATTGAACTAATGTGGGTAAATAATGGTTAATGAAGTGTTTTACAGTGGTTACTAGTGGTTCACAATGGTTCATAATTGAACTAATGTGGGATTCAGCCAATGCCATTTTTACCACCCATGACTGGGAATGGTAAACATACCACCTATATATTTATGGTGATGACTGGGGGATTGTTTATTGTTGTTTTACCCACATTACTGAAAAAAAAGGGTTAGGGGCATAACGAGCAAAAAGATACCTTATAGCCTTATAGATATCCACGTTTTTTGTTTGCAGATCCTGTATTCATGTGAGGTTGTCAAATCTTAAAATCGGCGGAACGCTCTCGACTACAGGGACCAGTGTAATTAACTCAAGATGGCTGAATATTTATTGAAAGTAGACACGACTGAAATAGTTAATATATATACCTGGAGAACCAAAACCCTAAGAATTCTTCGGGTCAACGCAAGAACCTGAGGTATTTCGGAAAAAATAAGAAAACCTCGGTTTTCGATTGAAGACCTCGGGTATTGATTTTGAACCCATACTTAACCCGTACCTAACCCGTACTTAACCCGTACTAACCCGTACCTAACCCGTACCTAACCCGTACCTAACCCGTACCTAACCCGTACCTAACCCGTATGGGTTAAAATACCCCGGGTTTGTCAGAAAAGCTCGGGTATTTTTCAAACCCTAAGATTTCTGCGGGTTTTGGTTCTCAAGGTAGTCAAATACATGCAAAGGTAGCAAACCCTTTAACTCGGCAGCATAGCGATTTCGGAGATCTTTGAAGCCGGAGATCGCAGCTTCAGGTGGTCCAGAGGAGAACAGCAAACTGGTACCCTCATCATCATGCCTGCCAGGGGGCCGAGTCGCAGTGATCGAGTTGGTGGAAAACTGGGGATTTGTTTAAACTGGATTTCCATCTTCATGATTCATTTGTGTCCTTTCCCAGAGTAAATAATGATTGCGGATGATTACGGATATTGCGGCACTATTCTTTGTGGTTTAGTCGTGGATCTATTCAGATTTGGGGTCAATGAAGGGGTAATCAATTTTATGCATTAACACGATCTAAGACCCAAGAAAATAGACAAGTAGCTGGTAAAGTCTGTATTTGTGTCTGTCCGAGAAGTATGACTCTATTATGATCGTACTGTCGTGCTTGGCCACATATTTGGTACCAAGCGCTTTGGCATCTCTGGCTCGCTCCTGAAACCCTGTTGCTAATCATGTTCTAACTTCCCAGAATTGGCTTTAAAAAAAGGATGCTAAAGAGACATTGCACAGGTTTAGCTTTAAACTTCATGGCCTTCTGCAGGTTTTCCCAACAAGACCAACACTTCTTGGTTGCAACCCTATGTTCGTTGGTTAAACCATGTTCAACACACCATTTGTGTTGCTCAGACCACCATGTTTGTTAGTGAAATCCGCCGCTATCTTGGCGGAATCACCATGATAGACATAAAATGTTTTAAACACACTTAAACTGAATCAAGTTTTTTCAAACCATAGTGTTGGGTTTCTTTAATTACTATACACATATACCTGCTATACACATATACAAGTGTATCTTAGACATCCCTAAAAACACATCACATCCACAGTGCCATGCCCCATCTTTCCAGGAAGAGGAGCACACGGATCTTCTTACAGAGACGGGACGCGCCGTGGGCCTGTATTACTGATGTTCATGCTCCATATTCTACTGATGATTATATTAAGTGTATAGGTATAGAATTGTATGGATATGTATATATGTATATACATAATTATATATATATGTATAATTCTTTATATGGATATAATGTATGTATACATATATTATAAACGAAGTGCACTGTGTTCAACTGTGCAAGCTTGCACTGCTGGGTCTCACAGGTATAAGCCTCCATTTTTGCGGGATTTTCATGGATTTTGAAGCCACGTTTGATGACCGGAGGGTAAACGAAGGAAACTATTGATGATTTGTAGGTGATGATTATTCAATGGTGATATTCCATAGCTACGTTACATATCCATTCATATCCAGGGGGTACATTCCCGTTACAAGCCATTGAAACCATGTAGCAACTTGCAATGGGACCAGCCCAACGTCAGGTGATGCCACCAAATTCGTGGGCGGTTCTGATTTCGGAGGCGCACATGGATACTCCACTGAGGTACAGAATTAAAGACATATATTGGTGATGTTCCATATATTGGTTAATAGTGATGGTTAATAGTGGTTTTCATAGGGTATAAACCAACAACAATGG